GGAAGAGAGAGAGAGAGAGAGAGAGAGAGAGAGGGAGGGAGAGAGAGAGAGAGAGGGAGAGAGAGAGAGAGAGAGAGAGAGGGCGCAGAGGAAGGAGAGCGTGCGAGGTGAGGTATGGCCGTGCAAATGCGCGAGGATCCTTGCAACGTGTGTTATAATCGTGCGCTGGATCGTCAGTCGTGCGCGACAGATCGGTAGAAATCCGTTGATTGGCCTCTGCTACTTGATCCGGCGAGTAGATAGATCCTCTGGGTTACCTCGGGACCAGTTGCCGATGGTTCCGATCTAACACGGTCCACGGCTCCGCCGGTGCCATCTCCGCTCGTATGTCTCCTTGACTACTGCGGTTGCGCCTCTGGGAAAGGGGGAGGGGTGAACATTCGAACGTGTCGGTTTCGCAATCGGAAACTCGAGACGTTCGGGTTACGGGATGCGAGAGAGCGAGAGAGAGAGAACAGGTGATTGTTTCTGACTCGCTTGTCCAGGTGTAAGTGCGGTCAGTCGGTCTCTGATTGGATTGGCCGCGGACTAGCGAAAGGGTCGCTAGTGAAGCTCTTAATGATAGGCTAGACGCGCGAACGCTTCACGCGGATATTTGGTCACACTAACGAAGCTCGACGAAACACCGTGATTGTGAACACTTTTATTCTGTTTAGTCAACATTACCGCGCGACAACCGCATGTTCGCAAAACGAAAGGGATCCTTAAGAGAGGCCCTCATGTGCCTTTAAGAGACAAAAATGGAGAGAAAACGGTTATCTCGGAATTACCTCGAATATCCTCGACTCTGTAATTCCATGTAGAATTTTATTCAGGTTTATTCCTTTGGACATTTCATGTATAATTTATCGAACTTTTTTTTGAACGTGAATTTTGCTACAGGTGTCAGAAGATTCATCACCCGAGTTGAAATTTTGATTCTACTCTTTTGATCTCAATATTTCATTTAGTGCTTACTTTGATACTCTGAAGCCTATACATAAATCTCTTTTGACTGCAATTAATCTATTAGATCTGCTAAAAGATTCTCTTTAGAATCTACAAATGACATTTTGTGCGTTTTCTGTCGATTTTTCAATAGCACTTAGATTTAAGTTTAAACCATGTTTAAACACATGAAATACACTGCTAGAACAGAGTTTTGAATTAAGACCCGACTTTAAAATATTATTGAAAAATCAGCCCTTACACACAGGCGCTGATTAGGATCTTAAAGTTTCCATGTGTATTAAAAATGCACTAATCTTTTAGGATATACAGATGTTAAACAGATCAAGTCGAGAGTAAAGCTAAAATTTCGGCGATATCTCGATTACCAAGAACATCTACCAACAAACGTTTGTTACTCTCGAAGTCCCGGGTCTCTCTGTTCGCGCGCGAACGATTACTCCGTTCATTACAGCAAACGTATTACGGTAAGCCGCGCATCGCAGCGGGTCGCATGATGGAGATGTAATCGTGATATCTGTGTTTGCTAATGTAAATCCGTCGCGCTACTGGTATTTATAATGCGAACGGCCGCACTCGCGTGTCCGCTGCACCTTACGCGCGTTGCACGAGCTTTCGCCCCTCCTCTCCTCCCACCTCCTCCGCCTTCGTGTCGTTTTTATTATTGATGACCGTTCGTATTTCCTGAGTGATCCACGAGCCGCGAGTTCTAATGGATTTGCGCGCTTAATGAGCCGCATTAAGCCAACCCGCGGCAATAATTACGCGCGCTGTCAATCTGAGATATAGTTATTGGCCCCGGGACATGCAGTCGTTAACCGGCGGGCTTATGTCGCGGATCCTTAAATTTTATTCACAAAATTAATTTCGAGATCGCTGTTGAGCACGTAGTCTCGAGCCTCGACCTCGGGGACATGAATAACCGAGGCTTTATTCTGATTTTGTCTCTGGCTTTTGTAATGCCATAGTTTTCGGGTTTCTTTATAAAAAAGTATATTTGTTTTCACGTGATATTTTTGTTCTTGACTTATGTTCGTCTGTCTCTGCAAATTACGTTAATAAAATTTACATACGCGTACACACACATACACACTATCTTTCTATTGCTCGCGACAGTTAATTGTAGTCGTAATCGAGCGTGTCTAATGAGTTACGCTTGGTGTCCGCGGCGTCAGCGGGTGCATTCAATTATAAGTGCACGCGCGTGATGCGGGGACCTTTGACGCGCGGTGGAGATCTTCGCGGTATCTCAGAAGGTGCAATCATGCGTTCAGAGTCACGATGACGAAGATGCACCGGGACTAATCGAACGCGCGAATCGACGGAAGGTAGGAGCGAGGAGGAGCGTAGCGCGCGCGCGCGCGCGCTCTTTCCACGTGGACACGTGTTCAACCACGTGTGCTGGCTGGCGACCCCTCGGCCGTTACTTCTGCCTTCTTACTTTTTCTTTTTTTTTTTCCTTTTTTGCCCACTGCTCCTGACTCACCGTAGAGATATTCTTTTTTCTCTCCTGCCTCTCGCGTCCAGCTACGCTCGTTCTTTTTTCACTCAGCCACGCAGCGCACGTTTTACGTACAGGGTGAGCCGTGGAGAGGATCTACGTGCGAAAAATCGAGTGAAAGATGCATGAAAGACATAACAGATCATTCTCCGGATGTCTTTTTGAACACCTTCGCATTTATCTCGTATCCTTATGCGTCATCACAACTTTTATGTCGCGAAACGGTCATGATAGTACATCTGTATTAAAATTGAGCGTTAAAATTTATTGTAAAGAAGTCAACGGTGTCTCTCACAATTATTAGTCTCCTGCGCGACAGAATCTTGCAATGGGCAACATTAGATTTATCGTTTGAAGTTAAAGAATACTCTCTTACGAAAATAAGAATTTCGAAAGAATTAAGATCGTAGCAATTTTTGCACTGACGTTCGCTGCAAGACAGATGCAGATTTTATATTAAGGGAAAATATTCGAAAAGAATGATAATTAGTATTATTTCAAATATGTTATACGAATTTCTGAGGCACACCCTGTATAGAAATCCGTGTAGCGTGCACAGTTGTGTGCGCGCACACGTACCGCATGCTCTTCGTCCTTTTGCTTCCTGCGAGGAAAGTCTTTTATTATTTTATTACGGAACGGGTTTGTCAGTATATTGCGATCGCGAATAAGACGAGGGAGAAGTGGAGTATAGCCGCGTCAACGGTGTCATGGACCTTAGATCGTCCTGTGGCAAAATATTGCATGAAATTGATACACGGCGCGGCGTGGTTTATTGTACATGCGCGGCCAGGCCGCATAAATTGACTTCAAATAAATCTCACGGCGCGCGAAGTAAAATAGCCAACGATTGCACCGTGCGGAATTGCATCATATCTCTCTCTCTCTCTCTCTGACTCTTTCTCTCCCTCTTTCTACCTCTCCCTTCGAGAGAGATGCATGAGATTTACTCTTGCACTGTTTAACGCAATTCGGGGGAATTATTAATCAACGATTATTAATCAACAAACATTAATCAACGAACGAAAGCTGCACGATGTGCAGAAATGCGAGGCCGCGAACTCTATCAGGAACATGTATTGAATATTGATTTCTATCAGTGTTGAGCATGAATCTATTATAATTTTACTCGACTAAAATAATGGTACATAATATATTGATACCGCGATATAATGTACGTGAATTAATGAAAATTATCTTACGACGCGACGACTCGAGAGTGTCTTGGCTCGCGGAGAAGGTCGGTCGTCCTTGACGCTCGCGCGGCAAGTCGCGCGACAATAACAAACGCTCATATCTCTCTTTGCCGTGGAGACGAACAGATCGAAATATGCCGCGCTCTATTTCCTACTATTCATGTTCGATCGCAGCGATTGTGAGGCGAATCGCGACACTTGATCGTCACCTCGCCGAGATCGTCGTGAGCATTGAGAGTATTGCGAGATATTTACAGGGTGAATATTTCATGATATTTTTACTACATTTTCATGGGATACACACAATTGAAGTGTATTCTCAATTTATCTGACCCGAATAACCGACTTGAATAAACGGGGAAAATGACTTTTCTGTTTCAGAATCTGGCAGCACTTGCGGCCGTGCGCGGTAAATGCGGTTCCGGGGAACGTTGATGCTGTACCGGAGGATCCGGTTCGGGCAGAGCAGGGTCGACTCGGAGGTAAGTTCACTTCATAAGTTCATTCTCCTCCGTCTCACCCTTCGCGGTCGTGTGCTGAAATAAAGTTGTCACAGTAATTCGATTTACGATCGCAAATAGCCGTCCCCTTCATACTTACACTGGTTTGTCAAGCAAAATTCGTAAATCTAATCAGCAATATGGTATTTTTGTTGCAGATATACTGGTTATTAGCTAACTCTGTCTGCAAGTCGTTTTGGTAATTAACAAATGAAAATAAATATTTAAAGTGATGGACACAAAGGTTTTAGGTAGTGTGAATCCGACTTTTCGAAAGATAGTCAATGTGATTTCCTTACATCGAGACAAAAAATATGTAAGGAATAAAAAATATTTATTCTGCAGGCTAATAACATATTTACTTATACTAGTATATAAATGTTTTCAAATAAGGAAACATGTGTTATTTTAAAACTTTAGCTTTTTTTCATGCAAGCAGTTTATTTATTCAATTTAAATAAAAGAATTTAGATTTATGTAAATATGTTATTTTTTTAGTATTCATCAAATAAATATTTTTTTATTTTTCTCTCAGTGTAGTTCGTAGATTTTGCATGTTAGCTTTTGCATGTTTGTTGATACGAACCGTTGAACAATAGTGATATGAGATGAGTTTTCTTTGTTTTGAAAAGATTTCACGAAAATCCGATATCAAATAAATCGATACAATTTAATTAATTTTGATGTATAAGTAGAGAAATTCCCTATATTTTTTTATTACGAGAAGATTCACAGAAAATTTGTCATGTTAGATTTCGCGAAAATTTTTGATACCAAATAAGTCGTAATTCGCTCAATTAATTTCAAGATGCAAATATAGAGATGCAAATATGCTTCATATTTTTTTTTTACCAATAAATATACTTTTCATCTTTAAAATACATTGTTGACTCATATCACTGCTTTGTTCGACAGCTTAATTTTTTATTATGATTATCCAACTGCGGTCGAATAAGACTCTACTCATGAACTTCACAAAAATAATTGGCAAAGTAATTAGGTGCTAGAATTACGCCACATTTGCAGAATTCGCGATATTTTTGGTCGTGTTAGTAGATTTCGCGCAATTTAATTTTTCTTATTTACAAAGATATTGATTTTACGGTAGCCTCGTGAATATTGTTCACACAGACGCGTTGGCGAATTTGAAGATTGTCAGAAAATCTCGTTTCGGTTATTCAGGCTTACATTTGCAACAAACAGTTGTGAAACATTTAAATTTTGCGATAGTCACAAATATCTTTTCCGCGTAAACAGCGATGAACTTGACGATCATCGCGATATATTGTTTCCCTTTTTTAGATTTATATCCTTGTCAGGATTTACATTATATCAGATTTCGGTGTTGAGATATTTTTACGATAGCCGTGATTATTTTCCCTTTTTGGCATATTTCACGATCACCGTGACGTTTTATCCCGATTAATTTAGACATTACATCGATGTTACTATTCGTATTCGCCCGTTGAAGCAGAAATTTTATGACAGCCGCAATAATTTACTTGCGGTCACTTGCTGTGGTCGAATGAAATTTGACTCAGGAACTTCGCAGATTATTTGGCGAAGTAATTAGGTGCTAGAGTTGCGCCATACATGCGAAAGTCGTGATAATATCGGTCGTAGTAATAAATTTTACGGTCGTTGCGGTTTTAATTTGCTTATTTACGCGAAAATAAAAATGTCATAGTAGTCGCGCGATCATTGTTTACTCGCGTAAACGTCAGTTGGCTCGACTATCGACGCGGTGTGTGTTGTTTCGTTTTTTTGTGTTTATATTCGCGTCGCGATAAGATTTCGCTCGTGGAGACATAAAAATTTTATAATGGTGGATGAAATGATTATTTCGCTCGCGCATGTGTTGACATTTCGGTGTTCTTCAATGCGTTCTTCAATCTTCGATTATTTACAATCGATTCGCGAGTCTTAATGTCGAAGTTAATGAAAAACGTAAATCGTTGAATTCGTAAGAGTCGTTAAAATAATCGCGAATAAAATAAAGTGCATTAAGAAGAAACAACTATGAGATACTGAGAATGCTGGACGGATGCAGGATAATGCAATCCTAGGCAGTGTAGATTTCGTCAGTGGGCTTGGTTGAATTTCGCAGTTTACAATGGTGAGTGTTGAATTTCAACGTTCACAAAGTTTCATACTGTAGTAGATGCATGATAATAAATCGCATTGACTAACGAGTAAAATAAGAGCTCTTATACGCTGCTCTTTGAAACCAAACGTGCGGATAATTTAATATCCGCATTAAGATTACGGCATTTTAATGGCGCATTTTATTATATGACTTTAATTACAGACAGACTGAAATATCTATATCTTAATATATGATTTTAGATATTTGAATATTGAGATAGTCAATATATATATAGAAATAATTAGAAATACGAAGCATCAAAATAAGACAATGGCCTGTTTTGTTTGAAGATTTAATGTTTTATTTCAAGATTTTCTCTTTTTTTTCTACTATACAGTGAGAAAAAAATATTTGAAAATTCATTTGTAGAATATGAAATTTATTCACAAAAATCAACTTTGTTTCACAAAAATAAATTTTATTTCACAGAAGTAGACTTTATATATCTCACAAATCAATGTTCAGGTATTTTCTTCTTACAAATGAACCTAGCCAAAAGGTACACTCCGATTTCTTTCTAATTTGACATATTTTTTCATTTTGGCTTTAAGTTTTACAGACAATTTAATAGCTTTTTAATGTTCTCACTTCTATTATCAAGTACAACAAAAATGCATAAGAAGTAACATTGAATACAAGATATAGTTAAATAATTTTAACAAAATCGGTATAGCTGAGACACGAACCATTCTAAATTTCTTTCGCCAAGATTCCAACTGAAATATTTAAAATATGTGCTAAATTAGTCAAACATAGTTTAAATCTCGGCCAAACCGAGGAATTATTTGTATAAATAATCAGCAAACCAAAAACGCCTATATTTTGTATTCAATTTTATTTCTTATGCATTTTTGTTGCACTTGATGATAGGAGTGAAAACATTAAAAAGCTATAAACTGCCCGTAAAACTCAAAGTAGGCCAAAATGAAAAAATATTACCTAAATATTTTTTGTATTTCTACATTTGTACCAAATTAGAAAGAAATCGGAGTGTAACTTTTTGGTAGGTTTACTTGTTAGTTTTTTGAGTTTGACGATATTTGTGAGTCTATTAAGGTGAAACTAATATTTTCTTCAAGTATAGATATTTTATATAAGTATTTCTAAAAGATATATGCTTCACTAAATATATGCATCATTAAAGTGTCGTACAATATGTAGTTGTAGAAAATTTTCTATACATGATAATAATATATAATATGTAATATATTATAATATATATAATATTATATGATATATATATATATATATATATATGTTTATGTATATATATATACATATATGATGATAATCATTTTATATGCTACCGATTTTATATTATCTGATTGTTTTTCTCATGTGTCCGGCATATTATTGAACTCTGAAATACATAATGCATTATACACTTCTCTCCATATTTATTCGCTTATAATGATAAACGCGTATCGACTATTATGACGTAGGCGATGATAGTAGCGGCTACTGTTCACGTACGAACTGCATAAATTCATTTAACGTGTGGTTATCGATAGCCGTTGATACCCATCGAAAGATTTATGACGGTAAAACCCTCCGTTTTACGATCCTCTTAGCTACCCTCTAATTTTTGTCGTCGCTCCCCTGCTCCCTTTTCGCGATTACTATTCCCTTGTGCTATCACAGGGTGCTGCATATTCCCTCTTCCGTCGCGAGCGAATTATTTTTTATATTACACAGTGCAGTTGGATGAATATTACATGTAGCGTTACGCTCCTTGCAAATTTCGGTCGCAGTCGATTCGACGCGTTGTGACGAAACCAATTATCATTCACATAATCATGATTATGATAACGTTATTTGCTTGTCCGAGCACGCGAAACAAAAGAGAACAGGGAGAGTAATTAGAGACCACTTAATTACTATCGCTCGATGACTGAACGAATGTCACTCAGCGGTCATTAGAAGTGGGGATTACATCGTCTTCCCCGAATCCGACATTGAATACAATTTAATGAGCCTAATGACACTTTAATCCGCTCGCACAAGGACGCCTTTGAGACGTTGACGCGCGGCGCTCAAGGCGCGCGAGAGAGAAAGCCGGTTCGTCGTTCTTGCCGTTCGCGCATTAAGGCGAAGCCCTTTCCGCGAAAGTTTTCGGAATAATTAATTAATTCGCTCAATCGATATACGCTCGGTCCTGCAGATTGGTTAAGTTTAGCAGCCTGTAGTGTGCGTCGGTTTAGCTAGTTAATTGTTCACGAACGTGTTTAGTCCGCGACCTGTCGAGTTAGTATGTCGCGCACCTCCGTGAACCCGACTTAATGAATTAATTACTTCATTGTTTCGGCTGTCGCCATCTCGAACGTAACGTCGATTAAAGTCGTGATCTCGCCCGCTACATTGGGGAACCCAAATAAGGAAGCACAGATGTTAATTACAAAGTCAGAATGGAAGTATCCAGAAAAATTAAATGCCGCAGAGACAAATGTTTTCTTTCGTTTAATGTTTAAATATCAGTTCTTTCAAACGAACGTTCTTCCGAATGTTCAATCGATTTTGGGTGATATTAAAAATAAATCTGGCTGAATGTTATATACGAAATCCCCGAAGCAGTCCGCGAAGTATTCACCTTGAAGCTTGCCTAACTCGTGATTGACTCCACCTTCTTAATTTTCGTCCGCGCCGCTTTTATCGACCGTACGCTTTATTCGAGACGTTCCGTAATGGTAATCGCGACGGCGATTACCGATTATACTTCCGCCATTTAATCGGCAGCGCTCGTGTAACGGTATCGTGCCGTTCGCCGTGTCGCAAAAACCGGCGAAAAGCGAGAACGCTCGCCGCGCGCAGGAAGGCTGGATGGAAAGGTTTCCAAAGTAGTCGGGCTAAGGTCAGTGCCGCGAACATAATATGGTTAGTGACCGCGTGACGTCAGGCCGGCGGACCACGTGACGGTGATAAAACAAGCCGCACGGGTGGGGACCACGTGTGCAGCACAGTGGCCAAGCGGGTGACGACGGGGCGAAGGGGGGACAAACTGGCTGATCCGCCGGTTGCAGCGGGGAAAGGGTTTTGCGGGACAGGGTGGCGGGGTA